TAGCATTTTACCAAATCACCTCATTCTTTGGGGCACACGTGAGGAACACAAATGCGAACAAGCCTGAATGGTCCCCAGGACAATATGCAACTGAAAACTCACACCCCAGAAGTGACTCGAACCCATACTCCCAGGAGCAACGCAACTGGTATGTACAAGACGCCTTAATCCACTTGACCATCACGACCGGACATAATGAGGTGATAGCCAAAGCTATTTGAACCACCCCACCGCCGGCACTCGGATAGTAATCTTGGGCATAGCATTTTACCAAATCACCTCATTCTTTGGGGCACACGTGAGGAACACAAATGCGAACAAGCCTGAATGGTCCCCAGGACAATATGCAACTGAAAATTCACACCCCAGAAGTGACTCGAACCCATACTCCCAGGAGCAACGCAACTGGTATGTACAAGACGCCTTAATCCACTTGACCATCACGACCGGACATAATGAGGTGATAGCCGAAGCTATTTGAACCACCCCACCGCCGGCACTCGGATAGTAATCTTGGGCATAGCATTTTACCAAATCACCTCATTCTTTGGGGCACACGTGAGGAACACAAATGCGAACAAGCCTGAATGGTCCCCAGGACAATATGCAACTGAAAACTCACACCCCAGAAGTGACTCGAACCCATACTCCCAGGAGCAACGCAACTGGTATGTACAAGACGCCTTAATCCACTTGACCATCAGTCCGGACAAATGTTCGCATTTGTGTTCCTCACGTGTGCCCCAAAGAATGAGGTGATTTGGTAAAATGCTATGCCCAAGATTACTATCCGAGTACTGGGTGAAGATCTTCAATAGTTGTTTCACCAAAGTAGCAGCCATAATGTTCTTTACTGGAACTGCAATGGGGAATCTGGTGGTAGGACACAGGATAGTTAGTATATAGGCGTTGCCAGAACTGGTCCGGGGTAAAGGACAAACAGAGTCTATGATGAGTCTGTGGAAAGGTTCCGCAGGCTCCTGCGGAACCATTGACTGGCTCCGCAGTCAAGGCTCCGCAGTAGCCTTGACTGGCTACTTGTCAAGCCTTGTCAAGGCTCCGCAGTAGCCTTATATCCGCAGTAGCCTTGAATACTGGCTCCGCAGTATTCCCAAGGCTCCATTGACTCCTGCGGAGTCAATGGAGCCTTGGGAATAGAGATGTTAGGTTTACCTGTCATCTGCCATGTATGACACTGTTGCACGTAACTTTTGACGTCTTTAACCATACCTGGCCAGAAGTAGTCGTGTCTGATTCCGTGGTAGGTTTTGTTAAAACCATAGTGAGAAGGTGCTGCGTGGGCAAGGTGTAGAATATCGGGCCGTAGGCTGGTGGGAACCACTAGTTGTTCGACCTTTGCCCAATCGTCATCCTCCTTGAGCTTACTGGGTCTGTACCTGCGGTAGAGCAACTGATTCTCTTCACCACCTTCCCTACCCTTCATCACCTTCCCGACCCCTTAACCATCTTCCCTACCCTTCACCATCTTCCCTATCCTTCACCACCTTCCCTACCCTGCACCACCTTCCCTACCCTTCACCACCTTCCCTACCCTTCACCACCTTCCCTACCCTTCACCACCTTTCCTACTCTTCACCACCTTCCCTACCCTTCACCACCTTCCCTACCCTTCACCATCTTTCCTAGCCTTCACCAGCTTCCCTACCCTTCACCACCACCTTCCCTATCCTTCACCACCTTCCCTACCCTTCACCACCTTCCCTACCCTTCATCACCTTTCCTATCCTTCACCACCACTTTGCCTACCTTTCACCATTTTCCCTACCCTTCACCACCTTCCCTACCCTTCACCACCTTCCCTACCCCCTTCACCATCTTCCCTACTCTTCACTATCTTCCCTACCCTTCACCTCCTTCACTACCCTTAACCACCTTCCCTACCCTTCATCACCTTCCCTTCACCATCTTCCCTACCCTTCACCACCTTCCCTACTCTTCCCCACCTTCCCTACACTTCACCACCATCCCTACCCTTCACCACCTGCACTACCCTTCACCACCTTCCCTACCCATCACCACCTTCCCTACCCTATCCACCTTCCCTACCCCCTCATAATTTTTCCTACCCTTCACCACCTTCCTTACACTTCACCACCTTCCCTACCCTTCGCCACCTTCACTACCCTTCACCACCTTCCCTACCCTTCATCACCTTCCCTACCCCTTCACCATCTTCCCTACTCTTCATCATCTTCTCTACCCTTCTCCATCTTCCTTACCCTTCACCACCTTTCCTACTCTTCACCACCTTCCCTACCCTTCACCACCTTCCCTACCCTTCACCATCTTCCCTATCCTTCACCACCTTCCCTACCCTTCACCACCTTCCCTACCCTTCACCACCTTCCCTACCCTTCACCACCTTCCCTACCCTTCACCACCTTCCCTACCCTTCATCAGCTTCCCTACCCTTCACCACCTTTCCTACCCTTCACCACCACCTTCTCTACTCTTCAGCACCACCTTCCCTACCTTTCATCACCTTCCCTTCACCATCTTCCCTACCCTTCACCACCTTCCCTACCCTTCACCACCTTCCCTACCCTTCACCACCTTCCCTACCCCTTCACCATCTTCCCTACCCTTCACCATCTTCCCTACCCTTCACCACCTTTCCTACTCTTCACCACCTTCCCTACCCTTCACCACCTTCCCTACCCTTCACCATCTTTCCTATCCTTCACCAGCTTCCCTTCCCTTCACCACCACCTTCCCTATCCTTCACCACCTTCCCTACCCTTCACCACCTTCCCTACCCTTCATCACCTTTCCTATCCTTCACAACCACTTTGCCTACCTTTCACCATTTTCCCTACCCTTCACCTCCTTCCCTACCCTTCACCACATTCCCTACCCCCTTCACCATCTTCCCTACTCTTCACTATCTTCCCTACCCTTCACCCCCTTCACTACCCTTAACCACCTTCCCTACCCTTCATCACCTTCCCTTCACCATCTTCCCTACCCTTCACCACCTTCCCTACTCATCCCCACCTTCCCTACACTTCACCACCATCCCTAACCTTCACCACCTTCACTACCCTTCACCACCTTCCCTACCCTTCACCACCTTCCCTACCCTATCCACCTTCCCTACCCCCTCATAATTTTTCCTACCCTTCACCACCTTCCTTACACTTCACCACCTTCCCTACCCTTCGCCACCTTCACTACCCTTCACCACCTTCCCTACCCTTCACCACCTTCCCTACCCCTTCACCATCTTCCCTACTCTTCATCATCTTCTCTACCCTTCACCATCTTCCTTACCCTTCACCACCTTTCCTACTCTTCACCACCTTCCCTACCCTTCACCACCTTCCCTACCCTTCACCATCTTCCCTATCCTTCACCAGCTTCCCTACCCTTCACCACCACCTTCCTTATCCTTCACCACCTTCCCTACCCTTCTTCACGTTCCCTACCCTTCATCACCTTTCCTACCTTTCACCACCACTTTCCCTACCTTTCACCATTTTCCCTAACCTTCACCACCTTCCCTACCCTTCACCACCTTCCCTACCCTTCACCACCTTCCCTACCCTTCATCACCTTCCCTACCCTTCACCACCTTTCCTACCCTTCACCACCACCTTCTCTACTCTTCAGCACCACCTTCCCTACTTTTCATCACCTTCCCTTCACCGTCTTCCCTACCCTTCACCACCTTCCCTACCCTTCACTACCTTCCCTACCCTTCACCACCTTCCGTACCCCTTCACCATCTTCCCTACTCTTCGCCATCTTCCCTACCCTTCACCATCTTCCCTACCCTTCACCACCTTTCCTACCCTTCACCACCTTTCCTACTCTTCACCACCTTCCCTACCCTTCACCACCTTCCCTACCCTTCACCATCTTCCGTATCCTTCACCAGCTACCCTACCCTTCACCACCACCTTCCCTATCCTTCACCACCTTCCCTACCCTTCACCACCTTCCCTACCCTTCACCACCTTCCCTACCTTTCATCACCTTCCCTACCCTTCACCACCTTTCCTACCCTTCACCACCACCTTCCCTACCCTTCCCCACCTTCCCTACACTTCACCACCTTCCCTACTCTTCACCACCTTCCCTACCCTTCACCACCTTCCCTACCCTTCACCATCTTCCCTATCCGTCACCAGCTTCCCTACCCTTCATCATCTTCCCTATTCTTCACCACCTTCCCTATTCTTCACCACCTTCCCTACCCCTTCACCAACTTCCCTACCCTTCACCATCTTCCCTACCCTTCACCACTTTCCTTCCCCTTCACTACTTTCCCTACCCTTCACCATCTTCCCTACCCTTCACCATCTTCCCTACCTTTCACCACCTTCCCTACCCTTCACCACCTTCCCTACCCTTCACCACCTTCCTTACCCTTTATCACCTTCCCTACCCTTCACCACCTTCCCTACCCTTCATCACCTTCCCTACCCTTCACCACCTTCCCTACCCTTCACCACCTTCCCTACCCTTCACCACCTTTCCTACCCTTCACCACCTTCCCTACCTTTCATCACCTTCCCTACCCTTCACCAACTTCCCTACCTTTCACCCCCTTCCCAACCCCTCACCACCTTCCCTACCCTTCACCTTCTTCCCTAGGAACATTGTCAAGAAGAGAATGGAACTATCAGGACAAAGCCCCAAGCTATTACGATTATATAGCACTTGGAAGGGATCAGGATAAGGATTTGGGATGGGACGGGGTGGGGGGAAAGGACTAGTGCCCAACCACTTGTGGACGGTTCGGGATTGAACGCCGAGCTGCATTATGCTCTACCGTCCACCGTAAGTGATGGTTGGACAGTCATACGACTGAGGGTTTGATGAGAGGACGTGAGTCATGGATGGATGACTGCTATCCTTCTGCTCTTGCTTATGTTAGTAAACACACACACACACACATTTTTTTTTGGTGGGTAGGGATGAGTAATTATCCCTATCCACTGTGACTCACCCTAATTTATTCTACACTAACTGACCTCTCAATAAAACTGGATAGCGCTCCGGGTATTGCGCAAGAACTCGTGCAAAGTTGGTCTTTCTGACTCATTGCGACTCATTCCTAATTGGACACAATCCTGAAGCTCATAAGGCTTACACACCATGGCCTTAACAACCTGGTAGATCATATATGACAATCCTACCACATCAGCGCTGCAGGTGACCAGCGACCCCATCGCCGCCTCGTAGGCGTACCAAGGACTTTTAGTCAACAATTTTTCCACTTGCTGTGGCTCCTGTCGTTTAGTTACGACTTGTCCTTGTAAAACTGATATACCGAAGTCTATAATGGCTGCCCGTGGCTTTCCTGGGTCGCTTCGATCTATAATGATGTTATTTGACTTAAAATCTCCATGTACGACGCCCTTTTGGTGAATCTCGTTGAGTTTGACAATTACGTCCTCAATCACTCGAAGCCAAAATAAATCCTCCAGACGTATTAATCCATTTAACTGCTTATAAATTAAATCCCGGAGATTCTCTGCGCCGACGTACGTCATGAAATAACACCTGTCCTCAGGGTACGTGCAGAGAACATACGGGGCTCCTCCAGCACCATCAAGAAGTCTCATGATATCCACTTCTCGTAGCATATCTTTGGTCCCGGTCTCAGTATTTAAGATAACCTTAAGAACAACGGGTGCGTCCAGACCAGGAAGGTGCCATAGCTGGGTCTTTCCATGACCTCCACTTCCAAGATCCCGAACTTTAAGGTTCTTCTTATGCTTTTTAACCCATGTTGCGTCGCCGTGCAATTTGAGCTGAAGATCGTGAAGAGAAGAATTATCTTTCCCGAAGTAAGATGGCTTACAGCAGTAGCAACCCATGTCGTTGGTCTTACTCTCACTTCAGTGAGCTGATACTGGTCGTGTAGATATCCTAGATGCAGTAATATAGTGATGCTCCCTGAACAGAAGGTCGCCCCAGCAGATGATCATCTTTCGATAGGAAGGCTAGGTTCTGTGGCTGGCTAAGGTTCGCACATTTCTGATTAACTTAATTAACACTTCGTATTATGCACGCTGTGACAAATCATGAACTGGGCATAAGGGACCAATCAGGACAAATAACGAAGCCATTGCTCTCGGCAGACTTCGACCCATCCGCATACAGATCATACATTACATCAGTTACCCCTTACAGGAAAAACGTTTAACTCATCACCAACCTGCCTTGGATGACTATAGAGACTAAAGTGACTAAAGGGTAGGGAAGGTGGTGAAGGGTAGGGAAGGTGGTAAAGGGTAGGGAAGGTGATGAAGGGTAGGGAAGGTGGTGAAGGGTAGTGAAGGTGGTGAAGGGTAGGGAAGGTGGTGAATTGTAGGGAAGGTGGTGAAGGGTAAAGAAGGTGGTGGTGAAGGGGAGGGGAAGGTGGTGTTGAAGGGTAGGGAAGGTGGTGGTGAAGGGTAGGAAAGGTGGTGAAGGTTAGAGAAGGTGATGAAGGGTAGGGAAGGTGGTGAAGGGTAGGAAAGGTGGTGAAGGGTAGGGAAGGTGGTGAAAGGTAAGGAAAGTGGTGGTGAAGGGTAGGAAATGTGATGAAGGGTAGCGAAGGTGCTGAAGGGTAGGAAACGTGGTGAAGGTTAGGGAAAGTGATGAAGGGTAGGGAAGGTGGTGAAGGGTAGGGAAGGTAGTGAAGGGAAGGGAAGATGGTGAAAGGTAGGGAAAGTGGTGGTGAAGGGTAGGAAATGTGGTGAAGGGTAGAGAAGGTGGTGAAACGTAGGGAAGATGGTGAAAGGTAGGGAAGGTGGTGAAGGGTAGGGAAAGTGGTGGAGTGTAGGGAAGATGGTGGAAGGTAGAGAATGTGGTGGTGAAGGGTAGGGAAGGTGGTGAAGGGTAGTTAAGGTGATGAAGAGTAGGGAACGGGGTGAAGGTTAGGGAAGATTGTACAAGGTAGGGAAGGTGGTGGTGAATGGTAGGAAATGTGGTGAAGGGTAGGGAAGGTTTTGAAAGGTAGGGAAGGTGGTGAAGGATATGGAAGGTGGTGGTGAAGGGTAGGGAAGGTGGTGCTGATGGGTGGGGAAGGTGATTATGGGTAGGGAAGGTGGTGAAGGGTAGGGAAGATAGTGAAGGGTAGGGAAGGTGGTGAAACGTAGAGAAGATGGTTAAAGGTAGGGAAGGTGGTGAATAGGAGTGAAAGTGGTAAAGGTTAGGGAAGATTTAGAAATGTAGGGAAGGTGGTGGTGAAGAGTAGGGAATTTGGTGAAGTGTAGGGAAGGTGATGAAGGGTAGGGAAGGTGAGGATTTGGTGAAGGGTAGGGAAGGTGGTGAAGGCTAGGGAAGGTGATGAAGGGTAGGGAAGGTGGTGAAGGGTAGGGATGCTGGTGAAGGGTAGGGAAGGTGATGAAGGATAGGGAAGGTGGTGAATGGTAGTGAAGTAGGGTAGGGAAGGTGATGAAGGGTAGGGAAGGTGGTGAAGGGTAGTGAAGGTGGTGAAGGGTAGGGAAGGTGGTGAAGTGTAGGGAAGGTGGTGAAGGGTAGGGAAGGTGGTGAAAGGTAAGGAAAGTGGTGGTGAAGGGTAGGAAATGTGATGAAGGGTAGCGAAGGTGCTGAAGGGTAGGAAACGTGGTGAAGGTTAGGGAAAGTGATGAAGGGTAGGGAAGGTGGTGAAGGGTAGGGAAGGTAGTGAAGGGAAGGGAAGATGGTGAAAGGTAGGGAAAGTGGTGGTGAAGGGTAGGAAATGTGGTGAAGGGTAGAGAAGGTGGTGAAACGTAGGGAAGATGGTGAAAGGTAGGGAAGGTGGTGAAGGGTAGGGAAAGTGGTGGAGTGTAGGGAAGATGGTGGAAGGTAGAGAATGTGGTGGTGAAGGGTAGGGAAGGTGGTGAAGGGTAGTTAAGGTGATGAAGAGTAGGGAACGGGGTGAAGGTTAGGGAAGATTGTACAAGGTAGGGAAGGTGGTGGTGAATGGTAGGAAATGTGGTGAAGGGTAGGGAAGGTTTTGAAAGGTAGGGAAGGTGGTGAAGGATATGGAAGGTGGTGGTGAAGGGTAGGGAAGGTGGTGCTGATGGGTGGGGAAGGTGATTATGGGTAGGGAAGGTGGTGAAGGGTAGGGAAGATAGTGAAGGGTAGGGAAGGTGGTGAAACGTAGAGAAGATGGTTAAAGGTAGGGAAGGTGGTGAAGGGGAGTGAAAGTGGTGAAAGGTTAGGGAAGATTTAGAAATGTAGGGAAGGTGGTGGTGAAGAGTAGGGAATTTGGTGAAGTGTAGGGAAGGTGATGAAGGGTAGGGAAGGTGAGGAGGGAAGGGTGAAGGGTAGGGAAGGTGGTGAAGGCTAGGGAAGGTGATGAAGGGTAGGGAAGGTGGTGAAGGGTAGGGATGCTGGTGAAGGGTAGGGAAGGTGATGAAGGATAGGGAAGGTGGTGAATGGTAGTGAAGTAGGGTAGGGAAGGTGATGAAGGGTAGGGAAGGTGGTGAAGGGTAGTGAAGGTGGTGAAGGGTAGGGAAAGTGGTGAAGTGTAGGGAAGGTGGTGAAGGGTAGGGAAGGTGGTGAAAGGTAAGGAAAGTGGTGGTGAAGGGTAGGAAATGTGATGAAGGGTAGCGAAGGTGCTGAAGGGTAGGAAACGTGGTGAAGGTTAGGGAAAGTGATGAAGGGTAGGGAAGGTGGTGAAGGGTAGGGAAGGCAGTGAAGGGAAGGGAAGATGTAGGTGAAAGGTAGGGAAAGTGGTGGTGAAGGGTAGGAAAGATGGTGAAGGGTAGGGAAGGTGGTGAAACGTAGGGAAGATGGTGAAAGGTAGGGAAGGTGGTGAAGGGTAAGGAAGGTGGTGGAGTGTAGGGAAGATGGTGGAAGGTAGGGAAGGTGGTGGTGAAAGGTAGGGAAGGTGGTGAAGGGTAGTGAAGGTGATGAAGGGTAGGGAACGGGGTGAAGGGTAGGGAAGATTGTACAAGGTAGGGAAGGTGGTGGTGAATGGTAGGGAATGTGGTGAAGGGTAGGGAAGGTGTTGAAGGGTAGGGAAGGTGGTGAAGGATAGGGAAGGTGGTGGTGAAGGGTAGGGAAGGTGGTGCTGATGGGTGGGGAAGGTGATGAAGGGTAGGGAAGGTGGTGAAGGGTAGGGAAGATAGTGAAGGGTAGGGTAGGTGGTGAAGGGTAGGGAAGATAGTGAAGGGTAGGGTAGGTGGTGAATAGGAGGGAAAGTGGTGAAGGTTAGGGAAGATGTAGAAATGTAGGGAAGATGGTGGTGAAGAGTAGGGAATTTGGTGAAGTGTAGGGAAGGTGATGAAGGGTAGGGAAGGTGAGGATTTGGTGAAGGGTAGGGAAGGTGGTGAAGGCTAGGGAAGGTGATGAAGGGTAGGGAAGGTGGTGAAGGGTAGGGATGCTGGTGAAGGGTAGGGAAGGTGATGAAGGATAGGGAAGGTGGTGAATGGTAGTGAAGTAGGGTAGGGAAGGTGATGAAGGGTAGGGAAGGTGGTGAAGGGTAGTGAAGGTGGTGAAGGGTAGGGAAGGTGGTGAAGGGTAGGGAAGGTGGTGAAGGGTAAAGAAGGTGGTGGTGAAGGGTAGGGGAAGGTGGTGTTGAAGGGTAGGGAAGGTGGTGGTGAAGGGTAGGAAAGGTGGTGAAGGGTAGGGAAGGTGATGAAGGGTAGGGAAGGTGGTGAAGGGTAGGGAAGGTGGTGAAGGGTAGGGAAAGTGGTGAAGGGTAGGGAAAGTGGTGGTGAAGGGTAGGAAAGGTGGTGAAGGGTAGGGAAGGTGGTGAAGGGTAGGGAAGGTGGTGAAGGGTAGGGAAGGTGATGAAGGGTAGGGAAGGTGGTGAAGGGTAGGGAAGGTGGTGAAGGGTAGGGAAGATGGTGAAAGGTAGGGAAAGTGGTGGTGAAGGGTAGGAAAGGTGATGAAAGGTAGGGAAGGTGGTGAAGGGTAGGGAAGGTGGTGAAGGGTAGGGAAGGTGGTAAAGGGTAGGGAAGGTGGTGAAGGGTAGGGAAGGTGGTGAAGGGTAGGGAAGGTGGTGAAGGGTAGGGAAGGTGGTGAAGGGTAGGGAAGGTGGTGGTGAAGGGTAGGGAAGGTGGGTGAAGGGTAGGGAAGGTGGTGAAGGGTAGGGAAGGTGGTGAAGGGTAGGGTAAGGAAGGTGGTGAAGGGTAGGGAAGGTGGTGAAGGGTAGGGAAGATGGTGAAGGGTAGGGAAGGTGGTGAAGGGTAGGGAAGGTGGTGAAGGGTAGGGAAGGTGGTGAAGGGTAGGGAAGGTGGTGAAGAGTAGGGAAGGTGGTGAAGGGTAGGGAAGGTGGTGAAGGGTAGGGAAGGTGAGGGTGAAGGGTAGGGAAGGTGGTGAAGGGTAGGGAAGGTGGTGAAGGGTAGGGAAGGTGGTGAAGGGTAGGGATGGTGGTGAAGGGTAGGGAAGGTGGTGAAGGGTAGGGAAGGTGGTGAAGGGTAGGGAAGGTGGTGAAGGGTAGGGAAGGTGGTGAAGGGTAGGGAAGGTGGTGTAGGGTAGGGAAGGTGGTGAAGGGTAGGGAAGGTGGTGAAGGGTAGGGAAGGTGGTGAAGGGTAGGGAAGGTGGTGAAGGGTAGGGAAGGTGGTGAAGGGTAGGGAAGGTGGTGAAGGGTAGGGAAGGTGGTGAAGGGTAGGGAAGGTGGTGAAGGGTAGGGAAGGTGGTGAAGGGTAGGGAAGGTGGTGAAGGGTAGGGAAGGTGGTGAAGGGTAGGGAAGGTGGTGAAGGGTAGGGAAGGTGGTGAAGGGTAGGGAAGGTGGTGAAGGGTAGGGAAGGTGGTGAAGGGTAGGGAAGGTGGTGAAGGGTAGGGAAGGTGGTGAAGGGTAGGGAAGGTGGTGAAGGGTAGGGAAGGTGGTGAAGGGTAGGGAAGGTGGTGAAGGGTAGGGAAGGTGGTGAAGGGTAGGGAAGGTGGTGAAGGGTAG